CCTCAGCCCGAGGTTGGGCCATTCTCCAGTTTGCTGCCTTCCTACTTATAAAATAGGGCAACCTGCAAAGAAAAGTATTGTTTTGTGTAAATTAGTAAATGCTGGGCTCAGTTGTAGCATTTCCCTTAGAACATATTGCCTACAGTTCAGTGGTAGCACCTTTCCTGCACCTTTAAGTGTTCAAAAAATGCCCTAAAAGGATTTAAGCCAGCTTACAGGTAACTTGTCTGAATGACTGAGACGTTTGATCCAGCACTGTGGCTGAATGAAAGAAGTATCATGCGGTTAATTAAAAGCTCCTGATATCTCATGCAGAGCCTTTCAAACCTTTTATCTAGGCAAAGAGTGTATGAATGAAAGTGTGCTTGCATTTGCACACATATAAAGAATTGATGAGGACTTGTGGGATCATTGCACCAGCTTTCTCAAGGCAGGCGGCCAACAGAACAATGCAAGTCTAAAAGGAGAAATAGGATACATCTTTTTCAGGATGTCACCTGGCCAGTTTCCTCCATGTCTCACAGTTAAAATGTGTCAGAACTGCATTTGGGATGGCAGGGTTTTCTTAAGGCGCATATTAATCACACATTTTAGGAGCAATTTTTTCCCTAAAATTAGATTTAAGTAGTAGATGAGCATATTATAAATGCTTCCCAAGCTCCCCTCCCCCTTGCAAAATGTGGCTTCTTCATTCAAATTGAAAGAATTATAATGTGATAATTTTCAACACCAGTGCATTTCTCTAAGGGAAAATGCTGTTAACTTTTTTCGGGGTGCTGTTAGACACTCCACTGTCAGCTACCTAAAGCTTAGCATAAGATTACAATACTTTTGCCAAAAAATAGATAAGACTATTTGTTGTTGAAAATATTTCAAGGGAGTGCTTGTACTATAAGACAGAAAATTTATATTTAAAAAAAAAAAATCTAGAGCAGATAATCTAGTATGTTCATTACAGCGTGTAGTAACTGAACCTCATCCCTTCTTGTCCCTTTCCTTCCTTTGCCCTGTCTGTCTTTTTCTTTTTTGTGGAAATAAAAAGATAAAGTTTAGTACCTGTTTACTTACCCCAGATCCACAAAATCGGCCAAGTCTCACACCTGACTTATCGTGACCATCAAAGAGCTCTACGTAGTCATAACCACAGTCTGCCTCTTCTTCAACCTCAAAAGTCTGAAACATTAACTCAACTTGATAGCTGCGCTCTGCCACCAGGAGCCAGTCGCAGTCTGCCTGAACCGGATAGTTGTTATCACCAAACTGAGCATGCGAGTACAGATCTTTGGGCTTGGTTTCAGCTTTCAGACGACCGCCGCACTCTAAACAGAGGAAAAAAAATAAGGACAGAGAAGTTTATTCAGTGCAAATTAGCATTTTCTTTTCATACATGCCCAGCCTTATTCAGGCTGAGTGCATTTTTATGCCACTAGCAGGTCAATCAAACAAGGTATAGAGTGAAGTACTACCCAGTATGAATACAAATCCATTATTCTGAGTTTTCCCTATATAAATTCTGTTTTATAACTATGGAAACTTGAGCATATTTCATAATTTTTAAGTGAAAGACCAAAAGTCAGGGAACACCAAAGTTGTGAGGAATGCAGTTCAAGAGGTAGGACTTTCTTCAGGTAGGCATTTGAGAGGTGCCTGTGGCCAGCAAGGTGAGTGCTGTAAGTGGGGCATCCACATTTCAGTGGTGACAGTCTTTCCACATGGGTTAACAACACCATTTGCAAGTGGCAAGGGAAGATCAGCTGTAGCACACATTTAGTCAGCAATCAAGTGCAAAAGTCTTGTGTTTCACAGGAGTGTCAACTTTAACCATCATGCAGTGCCTGGAGAACCAGCTCAATACTAAACACCGCTGCCAAGCTCGCTAGTGTGTTTTCTGTATAGTTTATGGATGTGACCAGGTCTTTCTCTGCAAAAGATGGTGGCCAGGAGAAAGCTGCTACTACCAGAGACAGTCTTGTAGCTGAAAGCCTGCTCTTGAAGCAAGTCTTGAGCTGGAGATCCTTGCCCTATGCCAAAGCAGTATTTTCAGTATAAATCTATATTTGTACACAGTAGTAAAATATATGTGTTGCTTTAGAGCTTGTTTGTAACTGCCTAGAAAGTTCATAATTTAAATATGAATGAACTTCATTGTACAGTCCATTAAGCTGTTCTTTAACCAGTTTGCTCAAGGAGAACAGAAATTGCTGAAAGTGTGCTGAACAAAAAAAAAAAAAAAAACCAAACCAAAACCAAAATAACCAACCCCAAACAAAACTCCAAATCAACAAACCAGGAGCTAGTACTTTATCCTTTCTAAATATTTTCAGCAGCTATAATTAAAACTAATATTTGATCCTAAATAGCCAGTGAATCTGGCTTCTACAGTAACTTAAACATATAAGTATTATGCATTTGCCAATTAAAAGTTCTATTACAATGCAACCAACAATGGATGGAAAATTGTACTTAAAAGCAAAAAATGCAGTGTTTATTATGTTTCCAAGAGATGGGTGGTGGCTTTTTTTCTTTACAGCTACAAAGATTTCAATGAAAACAGCATAATTTTGTTGTGGTTTCTCATCAAGAACAACCCACCCCTTACAGCACCCATAAAAACACCAAGTGCAAACGAGCTTGAACCAAAACCTGAGATTCACAAGTTTAGATTCAATTTTTATAAATAAATGAACAGATAATTTTATTTGCATTTTGATCAAATGTATCTATGATTAATAGATCATTTTATAATAAACTGAAACAAATTGCAAGATTCAAACATTTCTAAGCTTTGGTGAATTAATAATTTGAATTTTACTTCAGTGTCATGGACTCTACCCACACTAAACACGACCAATTGCAATGTTATATTGTGAGAATTCACATTTCAGCTGGGAATTAATGGCAGTAATGAGCAAATCCTTATTTTTTAGAAATGTGATATTTTTTTCTTAATAAGAAAATGAAGGAATCAAAGCAGGCAATATAAATTACGTAAATAGAGTAATCCTTTATGCATGATTTGTTGTTCAACCTGAAATTTCAAAATTTTTTTGCTTTTAAAGAACAGATAAGAGCACATGATAAAGAAAATTTGTCAAATGAGATAGTTCGAATGGTTATTTCTCATTGGTATTCTAATTTACTTATTTTTTTCCTACTCTTGATTTAATTTACTTTTTTTTTTTTTTTTTTTTTTTGACTGGACTGTTGCCAACAGTAAAAACATCTCCCTGCTTCAGACACGGAGCAGCTGCTAAGGAGAAAATGTTTAATTAACTGTCTGCATTGTTTCCTTCTGCTTGCTACAGCGGACAGGAGCTTAAAGGAAAGTTGTAGCCATACTACCAAAGGCAGAAAATGGCAATTCCCTTTCCTGTGCCCTTCTCCCATGAATTATAGTCTTATATTTTGGGATAAAGTATTGATTTTAGAAATTACAAGTCAATTTTTCAATTTCTTAAGGACTAAATTGTAGTTTCAAAAGTCAATATCCAGCCTGCACAATGCAGCGCTGCATCAGGATGTGTGGCGCAGGCTGTGATGGGTCTGCACAGAATAGAGCAGCGCTTGCTCAGCCTTCAGAGCAGAACTAGCCTAGCTGCGCCGACCACCATCCTTTCCATTGTGCTGGGTCTGCTCTGCTGTAGGTATGATGTACACATCTGACTGTAAAGAAATCTGTCCGACTTGTAAAATGCTGTTGATCTGACAGCTTTAGGTGAAAGACTTTTTTCTAGATCAGCTAAGGAACAAAAAATGCTTTCTTGTTTCCTAAGCTTTCTAGGGGCTTTTAGGCTTCTTACAGACATAGGAGCAAATCAAGCAGTAGTCTCTTGACAAGCTGGACAGATGGGAAAAGCTTAAACCCACACTATCTGAACTAGTTAAACAAGATTATAAATTTGATTCAGCATTGCAGTAATGAATTATTACAGTTATTTTGGAAGCGACACAGGATCCTAAACTGAGTGACATCTGAGATGTCCAAATTTGTCAGAGACATCCTCCCAGGGTTGACAGGTAGGAGGAGGATCTACAGCAGACCTGCAACCTCCTGCAGCAGCGGCTGGAGGCCAGGCACCATAAATGAGGCCATCCGGAAGGGAAACAGATGCCTGTGTTAGGGTAACAAAATCACTCCCTGAGCAATGATGCTTAATGTTCTGTCAGGAGCATTTATTTTCATAAATTCCTTCTGAACGGGTTCTGCCTCTTCTGAGAGGGAAAAATATAACAGAATCTATTTCTAAAACTGTGTTGCACTTCAGAAACAGCATTTGATAGGTTTTGCTCCACCTAGGGAAGCCTTTCTATCCAGCCTATTTTTTGAAACTTTATTGCCCCTGCTGCTACAGTTTTATCCTGGTTTTTGAAATATTCAATGGAAATTTGGTATTTGGACAGTATTTCAAGCCAAAAAGTGTCACAGAAAGGAAATCAACATCATCATCAGGATCTACTAGCATAAGAGGCCATTAAATCATGATGATGCCAGGAATACAGCAGCAAAGACACCTTTGGGCTTCGGATCCAGTTACTCCTTCTCTGCTGTTATATTATACAGGTCCTTCTACTAAGTGAGTTCTGCCCAGAGGTCAGAAGTGAAGGGAGCAGCTTCCTCAGCTCTCCCTGTCTGTCTGCACAGCTATGCAGGACTGAGTACAACCTTGCCTACTTCCACTGCATACTGTCAATTATTTGCTAGAAAAAATAATATAAGGAAATACAATCCACTGTCTATACACTTGTTAGGTATCTATTCATTCAAATCAGTGTCCAAAGCACAGAGGTAAAATTCTGACTGTTTGGTGCAAGACTGCAGGAAAAAGCTGCAAGATCCGAGTTGTCTCTCACTCAAATGGTACCTTAAAGCACATGCTGGTGATGTGCTGTTCAACTTAGCAGTTTGTGCAACAGCAGTCCACAGAAATAAATGTCCTCTCTTAAGGAGACAAACTTTCTAAGTTTTACAACGTTCTTAAAAACTGGGCAGATTCTATTCTTCAGATTTTCTCAGAAAAGCACTATTATGCGTGCTAAGAATTTTTTTACAGTTAAGGCACATAAAACTCAGCAGATAAATATATATATACACATAAATATATATCTATATGAGGGAAATTCCAGCAAGTCATAACATAACTAGCAATCTTTAGAAGTTAGAGAATATAAATTTGAACTTCTTTCAATATAATGACTGCTCCAATACTGCAAGTTGAAAGTGAGAAAAATAAACAAGACAGTACTTTTACAAGACCTGTTGCTAACAAGAGTTCTGACCTTTAACTATTTACCCCAAGGTAATTTAAAAATGAGTAATCATTACCATTTCGATCTAATTTTTCATCTAAGCTAAGGGGTTATTGTGGTAGGGAAGGCAAACAATGGCATGCTTGCAGAAGAGGATTTCCCACAAGACAAACAAATTGAATCAGGTAGCTAAGCTTTTCACTTTCCAGGTCCAGATCATGAAGAGTGAATAGTTCATATAATGTTGCCTACTGTCTTCTTTGAAAGGGAAATTAAATCAATAAAGTTTTAGAATTATTCTTAAGAAAGCAGAATGAAAAAATGAGAAAATGCGAACATAGATATATAAGGATTTGTTAGCTGAGCACTACACATCAACTTAATGAATACTCCAGGTAATATCGAATGGTATGAACAGTGATTAATCACCTTAATTACTTGATCTTCTATTAATAACTGCTACCTGTCAGTAAACCTTACGTACCTGCACAGATATTTATAAATATTTTCTGCATTAATATTTATTTCCAAATACTGGATGAATAAGAATGAAAGTAAAGATAGAAATTATGGATGAAGAAGAAAACAAAAAAACCCCAACACCCCTCGTCTTACAGCAAGCACCGAAAGTTCAGAGATTCAGCACTAGGGGCCACTGTAAGCCAAGCCACTTCAGGGAAACAACGTACACACTATGAAAATGTCCCAAGAAATCTACTAGTGCAATTGCAAAACACTATTTTTAATTTCAGTGATTTCTGCCAAAGAACAAAATAAAATGGTAAATGTGAAGGAGATTATATTCTTACAGTCTTAAGAAAGTCTTCAGTATTGTTTTTTCTTCTTTTTCTTTGGCTTGTCTTTCCTTTTTAGCTCTACAGGAAAGTAATAGCTGTTTACACAAAACCCAGACTTTTGTTTAAGTTAGAACAGGAAAGTAATGGAGGTGCATCACGTGCCCCAGTGAAGTATTGCCATTAGGAAAACAATGAAAAGCTATTGAATCTTTTGCAAACTAAAGGCATGAATCTTAAGAAATATCTCTTAGACTGTCTATGCCAATATCTTCTTTTTACTGGGTTTTGTTTCAAAATCTTTTAATCATTTACCTATAAAACTGAGACACAAAGAGAGAGAGAGAAGAAGAAATAAATGTCTACAATATTAGAGTATACTTTCTGCAATATCAGACTTTTCCTACTGTTCTCAAGGTTTCATTAGATTTAGTTGTTAACAGTCTTATCTGTAAACTCATCCCATTACTATAAAAGAAATGCCTGAATATCTTCCACTAAAGAACAAAGGGGAAGTTATTAGTAAATCACATCCTGATTTTCTGACCTGTAGAGTGTGTTGCTTGGAAGCCTTTTCTTTGAACTGATGCATCAGAAATAAAGCGGAGAAACATTTTGTTGCCAGTAGCAATAAGAGGATCTGGTATCTTATTGCCGCATAAGCGTCCCAGAATTGGTGATTTTTCACTTTCACCATCAAACACTTCCAAGTGGTCGTAAGCACATTCTTGATGTTGTTCTATCTCAAATTCATTGAAGGTCTGGGAGGAAAAAAAGCAAAATGACTCAATGTAGTACTGTATGTACTGTACTTATATGGTACATACGTACTGATAGTATGTTTCAGAATACAAAGTAGATGTAGTTAAGATGACAGATTTTAGCACTACTGCCCCTACAAGCCTGTAGCTTTGAATAACACACTGATTTTGAGGAAGTGAAATGATAATTAAGAGAGTGAATTTTAAGAGGGCATCATCCTTCATATAAAAAGGGATTAAAATCTTTATAGCCAGTGAATATCCATAACAGAATATTCAATCTAGATTACTGTGACTTTTCTGTTGAATTTGTACCATTTGTAGAATAATTCCAAATTTCACAGAACATTAAAAACAGCAAAAAGTAGGAAAGCTATTGGTTCCTCAGATAGTCGAGAACTGATTGAAACATCTGCAAAACATAATGCCCCCTCCTCCCTTTTTTTTTTTTTTTTTTTTATTTACCACACACTGCAACTAACACCTTCAAGAACGACCTTTCCACATGAATGGTTATGCATTAAAGTTATATTTTCTAATCTATTATCCAGAGATCTATTTTTTGTTATTACAACACTAAAAATATTTCAGGCTGCACCCTTCGTGCTAAGATCACATATTTGATAGCGAAATCATTGTGAAAAATTGCAAAATTTTGTTGATTGTTTATTAAAAAAACTTCAGCAGACTCTTTTGCTGTCCTCAGCTCTCCCAAGAAGATTCGAATCGCTGCCATAGTTTGAACACAGTGATCACAGACTTGACTTTATTTCAAATCTGTGATGTTTCTTTTACACTTCAAAACATTTACCTTTGTTTCTGAGCTCCTAGGGATTCTCAGTCTCCCGTAGTGCTCATGGCACCTTGTAAAGACAAATTTGGATCTATTAAAAATTGTAAATTGCAAGCCCTTTAGAGCAGAGCCTGGCCAACTTCCTTTTAAAAACTTTTAGAATTTAGATTTCTCAAACTGACAGTGTCCAACCAAAGGCATTTCCCAAAGGTGTATGCCATACCCTACAGAAACTGCTAAAACACATACAGCTAATACCTGCTTTTCAAATACAGAAGAGTGTCTTCCAAGACTGGACTAGTATCACCAAATTTATTTCAAGGGGACATCTAAGAGACTTCAGATAGGACTTTTTGACCAGGGCTAAATTTCAACCAGAAACCTAAAGATTAATATCTAGTAATTTCCCCTCATGTAAACACTGAGAAGACAATATACATACACGTCTTTGTGAATTTTCAGAAATAGCCTACAATTTAAGGTGAAATTCAAAATCTGTTTTGCTCAACAAAACAATATAAAAGCACTAAGTATAAATGATCCCATGAGTAGTCACACAGCTGACTTTATTTAAAAAAACAGTAAAGCATTGAGAAGCAATAATTAAAAGGAATAAAACTGAGCTATCAAATACTGAGCAAATATCATAATTATGCATTCTATCTGGTACACCAAAGCAAATCTGAGCTACCAAATCCCTTGTGGAATCCAGCCAGTGTGAAATGTGACAGTAATTTATATTAACAGCTGACCCAAAGGAAATATGAAGAGCTAACACAAACTCCTTTGCCCAGAGAACCAGAATATTCAGAATAACACTTTGGTTTTGTGAAAAGTGAAGAGCTGCATGATGCAGTGGGTGTAGGTTCATTTCACAGGGAAGTTTGGGGGTTTTATTAAGGGAATGAAACTGCAGAGGCAGTGAAAACAGCTGTACAGCAATCCCTCCTGCTGCTCTTAAATTGTAGTCAGCCATTCTACTTTTATGATGCCAAGTACGTGTTGTCATTTATACCCAAATAAAATCTGATGGATTAAAAAAAATCCAGAAAGCTGAGAGACTAACTGTAAGGGAGTTAGTTAAATATAGAATTGAGTCAAGCCAACTTGGAGTCAACAGGAGCAATAGATGTGATCCAAGAGCAGCCTGCAGAACTTTGTTTTCTTTTACAGGAAAATTATATCAGTTTTGTTCACTTCTCGTCAGTACAAAAAGATCACTCTCTAGGAAGCACTTCTCACCATGAACTGTAAGACACACCTATCATTTTTAATATTTGGCTTATCACTGGGATTCCTAAGCCTGCAGGGGGACAGTATATGTTATACTGGGTCCCATAAAGAACAGAAAAAAGTCCTAAATCTGTTGTGAGTCTAACAATAGATTCTAGCAATTACAGAGAGAATCAAAGGAATTTATTTTTTTAAAGGAAAAGCAAATCTTAACATTAAGTCTTTTAGAAGCTCAAAATATTTCAAAACACCCAGAGATGCTTTCCATTTCTTTAAAAAGTGGTCAGTTCCCAGTAGTGGACTAAGAGCAGGCTTGGAAGAGGAGAACTGACACAAACTTTAGGGAAAGTTGAACATGACTGAATAGTTGCTGCTAACTTTATCTCTATTATTTAGTGCCAATAGAGTTCACAGGTGATTTAATAAAGCTGTTAGTATAATTAAATCGCACTCCGTCTTCCTGGGACAAATGCTTTTGAATACCTACCTGCCCTGGTTTCGGCTGGGATAGAGTTAATTTTCTTCCTAGTAGCTGGCATAGGGCTGTGGTTTGGATTTAGTGTGAGAATAATGCTGATAACACTGTGATGGTTTAGCTGTTGCTAAGTAGTGCTTACACTAGTCAAGGACTTTTCAGCTTTTCATGCCCTGCCAGTGAGAAGCTGGGAGGGGGCACAGCCAGGATAGTTGACCCAAACTGGCCAAAGGGCTATTCCATACCATGTGACATCATGCTCAGTATATAAGCTGCAGGGCATTGGCCAGAGGGCAGTGATCGCTGCTTGGGGACTGGCTGGGCATTGGTCAGCGGGTGGTGAGCAATTGCATCACACATCACTTGCTCTGTATATTATTATTACTATTACTATTATTGTTACTACTACTACTTTATTTTATTTCAATTTTGAAATTGTTCTTATCTCAACCCATGAGTTTTCTCACTTTTACTCTTACAATTCTCTCCCCCACCCCACTGGAGCAGAGGCAGTGAGCAAGCGGCTGTGTGGTGCTTAGCTGCTGGCTGGGGTTAAGCCACGATACCACCCCACCATGACTACAGTCCCCATTTTGATTGTCTCATTAGTGGGAATGGTATTCAGAAATGTTACATACAGCTTCTGAACATACAGCCCTTTCTATCTATAGCACTCAACTGAGTAGATACGTTGGTGGCACTTATGGATAGCTGCCTGAATGGGACACTTAAGTCTGTCTCTTATAAACATCCGGCTGATTAGCTTATGAAAATCTCTCTCTGCTACATACATTTTCAAAGCCATCTTTATCTACACATTTTATTTAAAAATTCTGAAGTGCATGCCCATTTTTTCATAGTGCTCCTTAATGACACCAAATGCTTAACTTGAACCTTTTCAGGAAGAGACTTTTCAATGATATCAGAGTGAGAGCAATCACAACAAAAGATTAGTTTCTGCACACACATCCCTCTCAAAAAATGAAACACAGCTTCACAATTCATGTGGTTTGTTACCATGAAGAAATCAATTCTTCCCTTGTTCAGTTTGAGTAAGTAAACTGTGAGGAGTAAAGTGAAATACAGTGTGAAAGTCCAGGAAAAAAATATTTCTCCGTAGTGGAAATATGGTATTAATATTATTGATATGGCATCTTGCTGTACTAGACAGACTTGCACAGAAAAGTGGATTTCAGACTATAAATCATGGAGGTATTTTTGAAAATTCTATCTAGCAAAATTCTATCTAAATTTTTCCAATTTCATTGGCAAAAGCCGATTTAAAAACCTTTTTCTTTAAAACAGACCATGGGATATTTCACTGAAGAAATCTGAATGCTGGAATTATGACTGCTGAGGTTAGAAGTAGTGAAAAAGCTTTCACAGAAATGTTTCCATGCCTGGCAGGTTTTGGTTTATTCAGCCAGGATGAAGAAGGCTTGCTCAGAATTGGCAGCAGAAAGGCCACCTGAATCAAAAACCTGTTTTTCACCTTTTGAATGGACAGAGCATGCACAACACTCATTTTCTGCAACCCCCGCATCCTGCAGAATAGTTTAACCGTTTTACTTCTGGTGAACAGGGATCAGCACATGATCCCACATCCGCACCAGTAACAGGGATTATGCTTTTGGCTAAGGTCAGGAGTCATGAGATAACGATGTATATCCCTTTCATCCCTGCATCAATGTTGGCTATTGCTTCTACCTCTCTGAAGCTGACAGATCTCTCTTCTTAAGTTTTTTTTTTTTTTTCTCCAAAACACCTGTTAAATCAATTTAGCAGATTTTAAAATATATAAGGCCAGCTTTTGTTGTGGCTGTCCCCTGAGTACTCTGGCTGAAGGAACTCTGGGGCTGATCTCAAAGCAGAAAAGCCCCCTGGGCATGTCCTTGCCTTTAGCTTTGTACAGAGGCTAGATAACCTCAGTAGAGCTGCAAAGCTCCCTAAGCTCTGCTGCCCTGCCTTCAGCCACCAGCACTAGCCTCAGCCAGCTGGACACAAAAGTCACTTAATTTACTTAGGCTGCTCTTTTACTTATGTTAAAATTTGGAGCCACTTTTAAATAAGAAGTGCAGGTTCTTGGTTTTTTTGTATCTTTTCCTCCTCAAAAAGTAGAGAACAGAAATGCAAAAGGTGTGTGGAGAGCACTGTTCGTAACTTCTAATTTTGCTTATCTACATATTGGAGTTTGTGTAAATGGCCTCTGCCATATTTGTCAAAACTTTGTGCAAATTTTATGAATTGCAACAATGATATAGTAAAGTCTGACAGGAGAAAAGTATTCCTCCTGCCCTTAGCTGCCCAGGGTATTTACAGGTATTTATCTATGATATTGAGTAGCCCCAGTTGGCCAGGAATGGACAGGAGTCAGCAGATTTCTAAGACAGTTTACCTCTGGGCTGCAAACTGATAGTAAAGTTTAGTAACAGTTTCATATTGTTGAGTAGTCATTTGAGAAGCAGGCTTGGTGGAAGAAAAGAGAAAAAGGAAAGGTAGTCAGAAACTCACCAGTTTGACCCTCTGCCCGGGGGTGGCACTGATTTCCCATGTGCACTCCTTTCTGCTGGGATACTTGTCTGGCCAGTTGGGACTTGTGATGATGCCATTGGGACTGTGGATCTTCTGTTCACACTCAGCTATGCCAACAGTGATAGCATCAGTTAGTCTGGGGGTTTGCATTCAGAGGTAGCCAGAAAAGTACTCTTTTTTGTCAGGGGACCCACTGAACAGGAAGGAACTTTAGGAAAACAGCTAAGCACACTCTTCAGTGTGCACAGTCATGTTCTTCCTCTTTGGTAAACGCTTTATGGCAAGTAACCCAGCATGCTTGTTTATTGATTGTTGTGAAACATACGCTATTGTTTACAATGGATGGCTTTTTTTTAAAAAAAATATTATAAAGGAATATACATAAGGTAAGCATTAAAATTTAATCGAGTATTTTGCTATTCCCCCCATTCTACATACAAATAAGTATGAAAATCCGCATGAGAAATTGTGCTACTCCAAATGATATTTCTTGGGCAACTTATTTTTCTCTCTTCTCGCTAATTTTCATGCTGTAGCTACAGAGCAGTCATTTTGATTTCTAAACCACAGTTCCTAGGGACATATATACAACTAAAGAACAGCTAAGACTAAACTGTGAGTATGTACCAAGAACGGCTTAGTCATTCACATCATAACTGAATCACCAGAAGTGCATCTCTGTGAATACAAAGAACTAAGACTTAAAGAAGGCAAGAAAGGAATCGGTTCCATTTTTTTATTCAGTTTTTTAACAATCTCAAATTGCTTTATAAATAATATCAGAGAATTATTCAATAGGAATCTTTTAGAGCGGGCAAGTATCATTCCAGTGATAATGCAAGTAATTCACAAAGGGTGCATCTTTACTCGCAAATTAAATCCATGCTAGATACAGCCTTGAGAAATTACAGTAGCTCACATGATATTGCACGCATGAGGTTCATTTGCAGATAATCTAAATTCTACTTAAGCCCCAAAGCCCCTTAAGCCCCAAAGCCTCCTGTTTTCCTGGAGGTAGCCACACCTTGAGACAGCAAATAGGAAGAAAGATGCATAGGGACTTGACTGGAATTTAGATTGTCTGAATATGTCCCCTAAAATAAGCCCAGAAAGGGTAGATACAGTTCCAGCCTGACTGCGAGGAAATAACTGCTACTGATAGGAGCAAACGACAGCTTTACCAAGCTTCTCTCCAGAAACACTATCCCTGTGTTTAATACAGCATTAGACAAATACTCTATCACAGCTTTAAATGTTCTACACTTCACAGCACTATTAAAAGTAGCACTCCCTGCCAATGATCCCAAGTTTTCCAAACTGCATTCCTGTGGACCTCAAACTCAGCCACACACAAATGCTGGGGATGGAGGGGACGGGAAAGGAGGGGTGGGGGAGCGTTGAAGCCCAAATGTCTAAGCCCCCATTACCAAGATCTTTCTTTTTCCGGTCTTTTCCTTGGAAGGAGAGCTGCAGAGATCTATCTGTAAGAAGAGCTGTATAATCAACCATTCAAATACCTTACTACTTACCCTCCTTGCAGTCATGTTTGTTTTCGTGTAGCACAAATCCATTTCGGCACTGGCAAACATAGCTTCCTACCGTGTTGATGCACTCATGCTGGCAGCCACCATTGTCCTTCGAACACTCATCCTTGTCTAAGAAATACACAACAAGGTGGGGTGAGCATCACAGCTAGCAGGAGTTGTCATTACAAAAAAAAAAAAAAAAAACAAAACTGTTTAGCACAGTGTTTGAGTCCAGAAAAGGATAAACTAAGGCACACAGTTCACTCTTCTCAGTATGGCAGTTTCATGGTACCTTAGTTCTAGCCACTCATTGCTCAGCCTGCAACCTTGCACCATGGCACAAATAGTCTGTCTCATCTTTCTAGGAAGTGAGGAGTAGTTCCTAGGGGAGAGGAACACTAGTAAAACAAACAAGCGAAATCAAAGGAGATAAGACAGTTACCAGCATTTGCTCTTTCAAGTGGTCTAGCTGGTAAAATTTAATAAATATCTTATCCAAAGCTTTATTTCAGTAAACAACAGGAATGTAATTTATGGACAACACAAAGTATTCCAACGTTATGCAAATTCCACAATTTAATGGTGGTATGTTGAAAGGAACATGTAGGCCAAACAAGGTTTCAAGCTCTGCACACTAAACATGTAAGAAAAGAAGGATTTAACATAAACTTTTTTTAATAAGTTTATTTTTTTTTCCCAGCAGAGTGACAGTGTGCTTTACTTTTAATGAATCTGGACATTACAGAACATCACAAAAAGAAAAACATTTCATTGAAAAACATACAAAAGAAAATGGCACTAATTATTTCAAAGATATCTACAATATAGCATGCAGTTCTGTTTATTAACATATAATCCTTTAAAAGAGCTTTTAGTGTGTTAGAAGTAAAGTAGAGAGTAGGGGAGGAAATATGACCTGCATTAAACAGCTACAAATTCATTGCATGGAAAAAAGCCAAACTAGATTAACAGGCTGTCGTTCTAGCAAGAGGCCTCAGCTGCCACCCTTCTATGTCATTCAGCTGTTGTCATTTTTGGTGAGGCTGGTCCATTTAAAAAAGGCAGACTGCTCCTGACATACGCATACATACATACATGTATATATGTATGCACAAGTATACACCTATATATGTGTAGACACATATATATATAATCCTGAGATATAAAAATATATACCTATATAAATATATATATAAACACATACACATAATAAAAAAACCTGTATCTTGCAAACTGTCATTTCAACATGCAAAGAAAGGAGGAAGAAGAGCAAAGAAATTGCGGTCATCCCAGAGGTCCAGTTGTTGCAGGGCTGGAATGCAGAGCATGCATCCCCTTCAGCCTCATGTACCTTGGAAAGCAGCAGTGAGCATTATCTCCAAACAAGGTAACATGCAATGTTTCAGACTTTAGTAGGCACAGTAAGAATTTCTATAGGTTACAAGCCACTATGGATAATTTAAGTCTCTTTTTGTTGTCTTATGTATTTTTTCCCTGCCTTTACTGACGCTCATATTCAGTAACACAACAAAGGAAGTCTGCATTATAATTGTGTACATATCAGCTTTATCTACTAAAATGTATGCAACACTTGCCCTGTTGACTTGCAGTTCTTTCCATAAAAATCATCTTATAATACATGATGATAACATACATTTATAGATAAATTCTGCAAGTCAAACCCAAGCATCCACTGCATTTTCTCCTGTAAATCTCAAATCTGTTTGCACTGAAAGTTTTTGGAAGCTTTCTGCAGATGTGAACAGATTTGAAGGTTAAGAAATAGTCAAAAACATAGGTAGTTCCCAGAATCATATGTCCAAAGGCTTATACTAGTTGTCATCTTGATGGTGAAAAAAACATAAGAGCTCCACAATTCATTGTTCATGCACCTTGCAATGCAAGTCCCAAACTAAGGTACTAAATCTATTTAATTTCAAACAAAAGTTTTAATCTTTCATCTTTGCAAAAGCAAACACTATCATAAATTAATTCCATGTTGCAAGTGAAGAATAGTAACAAGCAAATGAGAAATTAGACATAATATGAACAAAACTCTTCAATATTTCCCCTCCTAAGCATTAGTCTGTAGTTTTCTACCAAAATGAGAAAATAAATGGAAGGCAAGCTCAAAATGCATTCTGCTTAGGCTTTCAAGTATGGACTAGGCACACAAATTCTGTGCCCTGGTCCTGTCCATTTTCATCTTCCACCAAAATGTGTGAAAATACTGCAAAGTATTTTAACATTAAATAAGCTTATATTCTGTAAAATAATCTCTTAAGAGACAAGTACATAAGCAAACAGTCCCATGTTGGACCTCCTTAGAGATAAAACAATGGACAGAATGTAGAAAGGAGAAGCTTTGGAACATATTTGAACACAATAATTACTTGTATGTGGTTAATCAAGGATGCAACTGTTGAACGAGCCTTCCTCACACTTCATAATTCAGAACAGACTATCTGTCAAATTGATTGCCCAGTGTCAAAATTCATGAAAAAACAATTAGTCTGTATTAGTTATAGGAACAAATGTTTTGCCATGTGAAAACAAAGCCATTTGTTATGCTGACAGATGGAAATGAGTCTCCCCATTTTGAATGGATACTTTCTTTCTTTTCTCATATCAGTACTCAGAACAGGGAAAGATCCATTCTCAACAAAATGTTAGACTGAATCATTCAGAGGACAAATGGTCGTACCTCTGAAACCCTCAGAGGCCACCAGTCTGTGAATAATACGTACTCGGCCTGAAGGGACCTGTATCAAGTCCTTGCAAGATTCAAAAACAAAAATTTTCTCTTTGCAGGCAGCTTTCTTGTCTGTGGAAAAAAATGTACCAGGATGGCACCAGAGATGAGTTTGTGCTCCAAAACAGATTTGCTCAAGGCCAGAAACATTCTAGCTATCTCTTTTTAACTGCTCAATGAATCATCACCCAGGAAAAAATGTCCCAACAAACCTCATTTCTATATTATATCAAACACCATGTATGTTTTGAATGATCATGCAAAGAACCATAATTATTTAAAACACTGAAGTAAATCTAAAACGATAAGTGGAAGCAGTTTAGTGACATATTATCACTGGGTATTAATCATACTGCTACAGGAAGACTGATTTAAAGAAATGATTAGGCTATCTTCTTGGAAACACAGAAAAAAAAAATATTATTGTTATCTTTTTCCCTCCCTAGAGTAAATTCCTGGAGTTGTTTTACACTCCTCTAGTCTTATGGGCCCAGCAGACTGCAATAGATCTTCTGACAAGAGCAGGAGAGAGAGAGAGGACGACAGAAGAAAGAGAGGGGGAGAAAGAATAAAAACTCAATTACTGGAAGCTTTTCATTTAGAAGCTTAATATCCAATTGCAAAAAGTTTTAATAAAAGTTTTAAAAGATTAACATATCATGACTCCCTAGTTTCCTCTCTTTACCCACAAAACTTGATTATAAATACACAAGAGTGTCTCTGGAGATTAGCTAGATCCCTGCAACAGCTCCCAACTGAGCTTTTTTCAGAACTGTCCCATCAAATGTAAATTTTACAGAATGTTGAAAAAAAAAAGTTTTTCTCACTTTCCAGTAGCACCTGTCTGCCTGTTAACACCATTTTACAGCCAAAAATGTAATTACAATTTGTCTTATATCAACATAAACACCTTCCTAATGCAGGTCATCTGTTGCCCTATGTCACTGTTTGCTTTCACAGTTTATCACAGCGGGTTCCAACCACCCCAAAACTGCTTTCTGTCATCTGAGCTGGAGCTGGGCCATGCCTTCTCAACTATAGCCATGGCTGCAGAATTCACCACCATAAGAGTTGCAAAAAAAGTTATTTGGCTGTGCTTTGTGGAACACATTACAGTTCCTAATCTTCAAACTAATCTGGTTTATCCACCTGTCTCTCTTGCTGAGCATTGCATATGCCCTTTACTGGTGAACAGACTGCAAGATGCAGTGTTTTACTTATTACTGATTTTTTTTCATGATGTATGTCTTTATTACTAAGTGCTTCCAAATATTTCTATTGTGATTTAATCAATAAAACTGTTAAATGCCTTCCAGCAGGTATCTTGGACACTAGCACTAAGTACTTCTCTACAGATACCATTCTAAAAGTAGCGTATTCTGAAAACAAGTATATAAATAGGCAAAAAACCTCACTTCATCAGCTGAACAGTGATCAGCTATCAACTCCCAAAGGCCAAAATACTTGAAGTCAAGTTCATTCTTCATTGACAGACCAATAGCATATTATGTCCATATTAAGGAATTCAGGGGTAAGAAAGTTATAGTGTTTTCTAACAGCCATGAGAGTTTTGTCTGATGAATTATTCAGAGATGACAACCTCTTTTTAGAAACTTTAAGTTCAGAAGTTTGATTTCTCTCAAGCATTACAAACTTTCTGTTTTGATCAGGAAATATTGTCAAAAGGGGAAAGCCAGATAACATACAAGAATAGAATCTGCTAGAAATGATAACAACTGGAAGAGAACAGGGAAAGAATGAAAATAAAACACAAAGTATCTCAACCCATATGAAATAGAGAAGATATTATGGCAGAAATGCATTATGAAGCATTCAGTAAATTTATTTACTTACAGACTCAAAGACTATTTATATCAACCTATCTTTCTTCAAAGGGGGTTAGATATATACTATATCCAGGACATATCACACATTTCTATTCATTAAAAAACACATTAGTTCAGACTTCTCCCTGGGTAATTAATTTATTCTAGTGATCAATGATGTCATTTAAGACATATTTTTTTAAATTACCAGGAAAACCCTATTTTAACCGGGGGGCGAAGGGGAAGAACATTTCATTCAGAACTGAAAAAGACTAGAGAAGTAATGGTTCTCAAGGATTACAACCTGATGCTTTGAACTCCATGAATTATAGTCTAGTCTTTCTCCAACATATAACATTGGCCTGATTTCTTCCTAGAACCCACTCATAATATTAATAGGTCATTTAAACAATCACTAAAATAAACAAACAAATAAAATAATTCTGTGAAAATTAACTTTAAAGAAAACCAAAATTTAACTGACTATAAATGTATAAATGTTCAGCATGTCCACAAAACACAACTTCTGAATTACAGAGCTTACACAAATTACAAAGCTATCATTGCCAATCTTATATAGCATAGCTGTATAGATCCTGAAAATACATAACAAAATTAATTTACAGGTCATTTTTAGAACTGGAACACATCAATACTTATTCTTGTAAAAAGTCAAAATACGTCACAA